TTCGCCTCGCTCACTCATGATTGAACACTCGAAGATAAAATTCTTATCTCCGCGCGCCCATGTAATATCCTCTATATACTTTCTACAGGGTGGTATACTACCTTTAGAGTACAACATGTTGAGTACCTTACCCGTCTGTTACTGGACATTCTGCTGGATCATGATTTTGATAATGCCTCCAGGTGCATTATGGGATTGAGTGCGAACATCAGAAGAGTACCTGAGTTGGTTTGGAGGGTAAGTCATAATAGACCTCCTCGGCTYGGGTGTAATGTTGTCTCATTTCAGACCACGTGTCATTCCCTAGAGTATCCTTTCTTTGTTTAACGGTTGTGCTCGGTTGGAGAAGACACATGAATATGAATACAACTCCATCAAAGAATCTAATTCTCAAGGKAATGACAYGTGGTCTGAAATGCAGGGCTGTCAACTCTCCTGGATAAACCGGGAGTCTCCAGATTTTGGACCGTATCTCCCGGTCTCCAGATTAGAGTATCAAATCTCCCGGATAATCCCTGAAGCTGACCATTTCTCGTGAGACTAGATTTTCACAACCATAAAATTCCAATTATTTCATGTTGTTTGTGTTATTTTGCATCGCTAACAAAATGAAAACGTTCCTCATAAACTGTTCTTGCAAGCAGGCCATTGTAATATAAGCTATAGTCTGATTGGTCAGAAATAAACCAATCACATCAAATGTTACAAAGCGAAAGACGTCTTTTCGCACGCTTTTTGATGCAGTGTGACTTTATGCCCCTTCCCTATCAATTCTCCAGATTCGAATATCTCGGGTGTTGACAGCCCTGGAAATGGGAAAACATAACACCCAAGCCGAGGAGATCAATTGATGAGTCAAACACTATACAAACCTTAAACTTGTGATAAGGAACTATTTTCCATGTTACAAATTTAACAGCAGGGCTGTAGAAGCTCACCATAAAGGCATTTCACTTGGTCACATAGTTTGAGAAAGATGAGAGTGATAGTTCACCTCATATTTTCACCTCAACTTCTCCATGTGGGATGTAGAAAAACATTTAAAATGCCGTAATAATTCATAATGTAAATGTATCCATTCTAGAACAAGATGCCAGGGTGCATCCACATATCATTACACTATTTTCTCTTGGGATTTGATGTGTTGTGAAAATAGA